ATATATTTTCTTTTTCTGTGTGCATGCTTATGTCTGTTATGCAGGACTACTCAGTAAATTGTGAAAATAGAATTTTTCTAAATGTAAACAAGGCAAATACATGATGTTATTAGGAAACACAAGCACTGTACAGGAGAGTGCAATTCCTTTGCACAACAATGGGGTTGCTACTAGATGTGTGTCCTAGGTCTGGAGTTGACCTTTGAGACCAAAAGATAATAGACACATTAACAGCTGTTCGGACAGAAAGAAATAGCTCATGTAAAAAGTACCTTAAAACTACAACAAACATTACAGATCAACTGTTTATTATAGGGTTCTGTTTTAAGATTACTATTAAGTTTAACTTCTAAGAGTAGGAGGCCTATGAAACACAAAATGAAGAGTTTCTAGTGCTTAGGCATTCATTTTCAAGCTCTTTGTTAATAGTAATGATTGAAAATAGACATTTAGGAATCTTTTCACTCATCACTGAAACAGAGCAGTGTCTAAAATTGAATGTGGCAGCTGTTGAGCAGTATATGACAACACTAAACAAATGTTTAGACAAAAGGAAGGAAAAATACAAAAAAAAAAATTTCAGTAGGTTTCAATTACAGAAAGCAATGCAGGAATAATTGCTTCTAAATGTTTAACATCCTTTCCAGAAATAGGCTTTGGATCCTGAAATACGTCGGCAACGGCATTCCAGTGATTATTAATATGATAAACTTCAGTGTTCTGGTATATTAGTGTAAATAAAACTACATCCCTAACTTATCAATGCCACACTGAGAAATTTTTCCAAACCAAATATAACTTATGGGTAAGGATGGTCTCCAAAGGTTTTACACCAGTGAGAAACGTTTTCCAGTGTGTTCAGTATATCACGTTTGTCACTGCAGTCAACTGCTGTTCTGCCATTAGTTTAAACAGTAAGCAAAAGTTGTTGTAGTGGTCTGCAGCTGTATCAGCAGTTATGTTTATGGGCATCACAGACGATACCTTTGGAAAGCCAAAAAGCATGGATTTAAGATGGAACTAGAACACAGTATTGTTTGTTATTGTATTTGTGGTTGTAGATACCAAGGAATGAAAAAAAGAGTGTAAATAAATGAATTTTATGCCTTATTGCATAAAAAGAGCTATATTAGGGATAAGAAAAGAACATTGCTGGTGTTTTCACACTGACAAGGTATTTTAGGAGTGTTTGTATGGGAAGGATGTCTGTTGTGGGCTAACGATATCTTTAACTGGATACAGCTAGGTCTAGATTTCTTCAATAATTCACAATGTTTACTTAATTGCCAATAAAGTATACAGAGTATTAAGACATCAATACTGTATTGCAAGAGACCACAGAAGAATGAAAATGCATTTAAGTTAAGTAAAGCTGAGAGCAGTGCAGGAGGAAGGCTTTAGTATGATCAGAAAGTGAGAAGTAGAAACCCTAGCGAAGGAATCTGTATGAGCAAACCTCAGCTCACTGCCCTCTTTATGTTTAGTCATGTATGCTTTTCATTTACTTTTGAAAAAGTGAGACACTAAGAACAAAGTAAAGACACAGGTGTCAAGAGTCAGTTTTTATGTAAGCAAACACAAACAAATGATGACTGAAAGTGAAATCAGGTGATAACAATTAATTTTAATTAAGTTTTTAAGCATTTGAATTGTGTGACGATGTGAGATATGATGTTCAAGCAGCCAGAGAAAACCATTAGGGAGGAGTTGGAACAGAAAGCAAGATGGTTCTAGTTACCTGTATGACAAGTAATAGAGTCTTGGTTAATCTTTTCTTTAAAACTCAAAGGACACCCCTGATGAATCCAAGTTACTTTAGTTTGCTGATGTTCATCATAGCAATTTTTTTTAAAAATGAAAGAAAGAGCTTCTAAATTCCTTTGTGAAAAAGATTAAGAAATAGTCAGTTTCTGCAAGCATTAGTTCCACTGATGAGCACTTAACAGTTGTAAAATCCATTGTCATGTTGGCCTTACCTGAGATTTCTTGCATGCCTTAACTGAAGCTTTTCTAAGTAATGAAGAATGATCTTTTAGGTCTCAAAATAGCTGTTTCCGATAGTAAGAAGAAAGACAAATTGTAATTTGGTTTGAAATAGTAAAAAGCATGAAAATTTCCTTGGTGACCTGACTAGACTTTTTCATTAAGGCACATTAGAGAAAAGTTTGACTTATTTGAAATATGTTTATGTTTTGGTATGATGTTGAGCTGAATATTAGTGTTGTGAGTTTTTAATCTGAACTGCTTCACAGCCTTTGGATATTTTGGGATGTGCCAGTTTGGCTGCAGTCTAAATCTGCCCTACAAGGATTTTTATTTTGCCATACCAAATGCCAGAACTGTTTCTTTTTTGTGGTTGACTGCTTTAGGGCACAAACGTGTGGACAGGCTAGGGCTCAAGAGAAAGGAGTGACTGGCCACCCTACACACATATTTTTCTCACAAACTGAATACAGGTGGTACCATCTGCAGTCAACAGTAAAGGCTTTCAGAAAGGATGAAAAATGTCAGGAAGATCATTTTCACAGAGGTGGAAACAATTTTAAGAACAGTTTTAACCATGGATTCAAGAACTAGCTGTGTCAACAACAGATAAGCTGAATCAAATAAACTTAAATTCTAACAAATATCTTGCAAACAGTAACAACTGAGTAAGATTCTTAGTGGGTGCCCATTTGGAATACTTGTTTTTCAGCAACTGAAAGATTATTTTGTGGAGTGCCTACACTCTAAATACATTTGCATAGCTAGCTTATCATCCGCATGAAGTGCTGGATGATGACTTCATTGCTGATGAGGGCATTTACTTTCCCTTGAAAAAATGGTCAATAACAGCCACAGTAATGGACCCTTGAAAACCCAAATATGGAATAAAAAATTGTCCCTAGTGTACAATTAAAAAAAAAAAAAAAAATCTGAAGTTGCAAACTGCTGCGAATAGATTTTCTAAGAACTTGAATGACGTGGTTGAACCCTTCTAACTTCTGTAGGCTTGCCTAAATAAAGGAAGAGGAAAACTTAAAATCTCAGTTACCTTAAAAAAAATTAGAATGTGATCTCCTTGCACTTATAAATTCAAGACACTTTGCTTTTTTACTTCTGGAGTCAGTAGTGAGTTAATAATTTATTACTATGAAAATATTACCATGTCAGGAAAATCCTTTGGTGTAAGAAATGTGTACAAAACCAACTGTCTTATGTCTTATTGACCTATTATTTGCCATCCACCAGAGATGATTTGGAGGCTCACTGGTTTGGTATAAAGGAAAAACATTGTGGTTTTGTTGTTTCTAGCTCTAAAATTTGTGAATAAATATTCCTGGAAGTGTGAGCAATTATTTCAAAACACTTTCAAAAACACTGACAAGAAAGAAAATAATTCATTTATTCTGTTTGTGGTGTTCCTGCTGAATGGATGGATGGTCTTGGATAAAACTTTTTTCTAGAAAGTATGACTTTCTGAGAAAGGTGTCTGTAAGTTTATCATTGCATTAAAACTGACTTCTAAGACTACTGATTGCAGTTTCCCAAATATATCCAATAAGGGTGGAAATTAGAACACTTTTTCAATTCATCATGCAAATATATGAATATTATATACACATACATAAGAACACGTAGTGTGTATAAATGCATAATGTATTAATAAACTTTTTTAAATGAAAAATGCTGCAATTGATGTTTGGGAAGGAAAGTATAATCAAACTGCAGAATCACAAAGTCTTTGTACAAAGCTTTTTGCCTTATGGTGGTGTTATGGTGGTCCTTCTATGATGGGGCTACAGAACTGATGGACAGGGGAAGAGCAGTTGATGTCATCTACCTGGAATTGTGCAAAGCATTCGACACTGTCCCACATGACATCCTTGTCTCTAAATTGGGGAGACATCAGTTTGATAGGTGGACCACTCAGTTGATAAAGAACTGGCTAGATGGCCACACCCAAAGAGTTGTGGTCAATGGCTCAATGTCCAGCTGAAGACCAGTAACGAGTGGTGTCCCTCAGGGATCAGTGTTGGGACCGGTCTTGTTCAATATCTTTCTTGCTGACATGGACAATGGGATTGAGTGCACCCTCAGCAAATTTGCTGAGCACACCAAGTTGTGTGGTTAGGTTGATACGCTGGAGGGAAGGAATTCCATCCAGAGGGACTTTGACATGCTTGTGAGGTGGGCTGATGCCAACCTCATGAAGTTTAACCATGACAAGTGCAAGGTCCTACACCTGGGTCGGAGTGATCTCAGACTCAGCAACAGGTTAGGCAGAGAAGAGATTCAGAGCAGCCCTGTGGAGAAGGACTTGGGGGCGTTGGTTGATGAGAAACTGTACATGAGCCAGCAGTGTAAACTCGCAGCCCAGAAAGCCAACTGTATCCTGGGCTGCATCAAAAGGAGTGTGACCAGCAGGTCGAAGGAGGTGATCCTGCCCCTTTACTCTGCTCTCGTGAGGCCTCACTTGGAGTATTGCGTGCAGTTCTGGTGTCCTCAACATAAAAAAGACATGGAGCTGTTGAAACAAGTCCAGAGAAGGGCCAGAAGGATGATCAGGGGACTGAAGCACATCCCATATGAAGACAGGCTGAGAAAGTTGGGGCTGTTCAGCCTGGAGAAGAGAAGACTGTGTGGAGACCTCATAGCAGCCTTCCAGTATCTGAAGGTGGGCTATAGGAGTGCTGGGGAGGGACACTTCATTAGGGGCTGTACAAGGGGTAATCGGTTAAAACTTCAGCAGGGGAAGTTTAGATTGGATATAAGGAATAAGTTATTTCCTGTGAGGGTGGTGAGGCACTGGAACGGGTTGCCCAGGGAAGCTGTGAATGCTCCATCCCTGGCAGTATTCAAGGCCGGGTTGGACAGAGCCTTGGGTGGCATAGTTTACTGTGAGGTGTCCCTGCCCATGGCAGGGGATTTGGAACTAGATGATCTTAAGGTCCTTTCCAACCCTAAGTGTTCTATGATTCTATTTGCAGCTTAAAAACATAGCCACTGACTTGTAGCTCCTGTGATGGATCCTTAGTGCTGTTTTGCTGCTCATTCCTGTCATATTACACTTGCCTTTGAAACCTGCTCCCACGCAGTTGAGTCCCTTCCTGGAATTTATGCGGAGTGTTTCTGGATGAGGAAAATGATGAGATATTCTAAGTCAAGCATAATATGAAAATTTAAGCTTGAAAGTAAGGTGGATGACTTATGTCATGGTAAAACCACCACATCACCTGTTACATTTTCTACTGACTTACACAAGTTTTAAAAGCATAGCTCTTTATTGGACCCAACTGATTTTCCATCTCAACAGACTATACTGAACTGACGCTTGATCAGTGTCTAAGTAAGAGAGTGAGGTGAAGTATAGAAAGAACAGCACTGATCAACAAGACAAGCACAAAGAATATTTTTAAGAATATGGAAACATAAACAGACTTTCCATCAGTGACTGCGCAAGTTATGAACCTTTTTTCTGAATCCTCCTACTTATTTATTTTTCTTAATTGTTCTAGGACTTGTAAATATTGTTTCAGCAAATTGAGTAATGTCACCAAATGATTTTCACAAGCTTAACATATTTTAATGCAATCTTCAATGTTCTTTATCACATGCGATTTCAGTAAACAGTCTCCTGAGTTTCTAACAGACTACTTTCCAAACCTTTTTATTTGTCACTTACTTGCAAAGAACAGACCTGAGTGTCTATTTTATTTGAGCAATTGCTATAAATCAGTGCAGTCTCATCCAACTGGGTTATCTCAGCAAATTTGTATTTTAAATCGGTAAAAGAGTCTAGATTGCAAACATGGAAGCTAATCTGCACTCTGCACTTCCAGAAGGCAGTTTTAGCGATAATAAAGGTGATAATACATCCTTTATTTTGAGGCACAATGAGCTCAGTTGATACCAGCCACCTCCTAGATGAAAATCTGGTCCAGGATACATGCTCTGTTCAGTTCTTAGTTTTTCAGAGTAGTCTTGGTAAGTTATGTGCACTGGATTAGTCCTGTGAAAACAGTGAAAGAGAACTGTATTGTCAGCTACTGTAGAAGCATCAGGTCTGATCATGTCATAGGGAGTGGGATATGTGTGCTATATTTCAGTCAGAGAACCTGCTTGAAAATCACAAAAGCTGACAGCTCAAATGGGGCAATATGCAGGTTAGTTTTCCAGGACTATAAGGGTCTATATCTCCTGGTTTTATACCTTTTGCTGGAACCAATAGTTTTTATCTCTGAATCTTGCAGTTTGCCTCCACCTCTTCCTTAAATGAGCATGCTAAAAATGTCAGGATAATCTAAACCAGATCTTACTGTGATACAAAGATGAACAACTTTTAAAGAAGATATGCAGTAATAATGTGTCTAGCAGATACTAAAAAAAAAAAAAAAAAAAAGAAAAAAGAAAAGAAACAGTAGCCAAACACATGACACACACCCCCCCAAAAAAACAAGAACTAAACCCTAACAAAACCAAAACTAACGATTCCCCATGTTCTTTTCTACAGGGTCATACTCCATTTAGTACCCATCACTAGTTTTCTTTACTGCCCACTGCTGTCGGTTGACACTAGCCATTGTTTGAACACCCGGACTTTCTTGCTTACTCCCCTGTCCCACAGAACAAGGGGTAAATACAAGGTAGGTAAGACTTGTAGCCTGAGACGAAGACAATTTAATAGATAAAGGAGAAACTGTGCCTGCAAGCAAAAAGAAAAGAAGGAATTTACTCATTACTTCCTATCAGCCAGCAGATGTTTAGCTATCTCCTGGAAAGTGGGATATCAGCACGTGTAACAGGAGCTTGGAAAAACATATGCCGTGATCACAAAGGCAACTGCTGTTAAGGGCAATGCCAAGAAAGAGAAACAAGAAACCTTCCCAGCCAGGGGTCACTCTGGAGATCAGATTTCCAACCTAAACATCTCTTCTCCTAATGTAAAAAATAGCTAACTTTAGCAAAATCAAGGACTACACATTATTGTTGTTCTTTCTTACTTCTGGCTTTCTGAGTAAGCAGATGGATAGTTTGACAGTTAACTAGAAAAGATAACCTGTAGCTGGTCAGTTCTTCATTCAGCCTTGTGAAGGACTTATGACTTTTGCCTGGTCTGTAATAAATGTTCAGCTTGAGTGGAGAAAGCAGTGTTGCAAATGTTTACTGATGTTGGCTTCAAGCAGAGGAAGTCTCTGCTGCAAAAGGTGCATTGCTAAAGGAAATTTCAAAGTCCTTTATGCTTCTCAAAGAAATGTATTTTGCCTTATCTAGCCTGTGCTAGAAGCTCATTCGTTGCACTGCATTGAACAAGGATTATACATAGTTTTAGAAGTATTTTTATATGGAACTATAATTTGTCATTAATTCTACCTGTGCTAGACAACTGTATGAACGTGTAGCAAAAGTTATGTTTTAAGTAACTGTATCATATGTACATTTAGTGTAATTTGACAAATATTAAAACTGAGGGTGGAAAAAAGGAATATTAAGAAGAAACATAGACTAAGAGCTCTCTGCTATTAGTAGGGTAGCTGAAGAGTCTGCATGGGAGTAATAAAACAGTTTATTTTCTGAGAGATGATCCTGATGAGAACCAAATAATTGCAAATCCATTTATTTGAAAATCTTGGCCTTAGCAAAAGCTAATTTTTGTTATCCTACAAAAAGCAGTATTCCAGTTGTATTCAATATACAGCTGGGCCATAAATACATGTGGAAAGGAAGAAAGGAAATTTTGAAAGATTATATATATAATTTATCTCCATATTTCTTTTACTATGCAAGAAATGTAAAAGATGTTTCTTAATTTGCAATGGGTACAAGAGACTCTGAAAAAAAATTAACTATTTTGGCTGTCACACTTACAAAGATACTCTAATTTGCAGAATTTGACCTCTAAGGATTCCAGAGCTGAGAAAGTGAGAACTGTAATTGATGCTGTTCTGCCATGCCACAACACTTACTGCTGTAGTGTTTTTAGTGAGGAACCATAGGTTTGCTATTTCTGACTTTTGTTTTGCCAATACCACCTTTGAACCATGTAAAAACAACTCATTCTAGCAACTCCCCTTCAACATATTGCTGAAACCCTGACAAAGTACATTTCAGTTGTCTTAAAATTTCTCTACCACTTCCAAAAGGTGTAGTATATTCTCTTATTTTGGTTTTGTTTTGTTTCCAAGATGAACACTGCTTCTGTGAATGTTCTGAACACCAAGGTATTCAATTACTGAAAGCTGCATGTATCCAGTAAATTCATGACAAATTATTCTGTGGCCTGTTTCCAAAAAGGGAAAAACATTCTTACTGTGGAAGACAGTTCAACTGCAAAGCCAGCTCGCATAAAAAAGAGTAGCACAAAGGAAATACACCTAATGTAAGTATTCGTTTATTGAAATGATCTTTAAATAAAATTGTAATAGATGCACTATGATTAATTATTCTTACAGTGGACTACTCCTTAAATCTTTTGTAAGGTCATTCTCAGTTTAATCAGTTTACATTGCTAAAGACCACAAAAGATGTTATTTTGTAGTGTAATTTTGGTAATTGACAATTAGAGTATATGAACTATTCTAAAATAAAACAATTCTATGTGGATACAGTAATTAGTTTTTTCATCTCATTAAAGATTACAAATATATCCCCTATTACTGCAATACTTTAATAAGAATGTTACCATTTTCCATAGAAAAATATTCCAAGGACTTATGCTAATGACAGCAATTATATATGAAACAAACATATGACAACAACAGTATGTAGTCTTTGGGCTCACTGAGACACATGTGAGGAGCGCAGAGGTTTTAGAATGAGCTTATAGTGATGTACTGCTCATCAGAAGTTTGACTACTTTTTTCAAAGCTGCTCAGCATATGTGTTTATTTTCCTAGTCATCTTAAAAAAAATCTGTCCACGGCAAATTACGGTTAAGAATAATTCACTAGTCATGATCTACTTACTAGGTTTGATAAATGATGGATTCTACTGAATATATACAAACTGTAGTTTCTATATGGGCCAATGCATGAGGGACCTTTAGAAGACTTTTTTACTTGAGTGCCTAGACAGAGATAAAACTATAACTTAAATACCTTGTCACCATAATAGGACATGCAAAGTTATACCTTCCCCATCAGTATAATTCTTGCAACCTTTGCCAGCTCAAAGTGACATGGTAAGTATGGAGCAAACCACAGGGCAGATAAATTAGTCATTGCCCTTTGGTGTTGGGTTGGGATTTTTTTCAGTTGTCATTTTTTTGTAAGCCTGAATTCTCTCTCCCACCATACTGCTTTCACTGTCTGGATTAGAGACAGAAATAACCTAATTGCCCTCTACCAGAAATACATAGCAGATCAAAGCTGAATTAAAACTAAACTTTTAATGACAACTTCAAGAAATGTAATTGTAATCTGTATAATCTTAGTAGGCATGACTACTTATCAGATATTCCTCATAATTTGCAACACACATCAGATATAGGTTGAAATATATGCATGCATAAACATTTCTTATTCTTTGAAGGGAGAAATATCTAACACATTTTCTCTCTGGGATTTCCATTGACTGATGTGATACCTTTAGCAGGGGCAAAACTGGTCAATCTGAAAGATTCCTGCTGAACTCAGTCAACAGGCTGAACATGACCTTGGCAGCTGTTTCTTCTTTGAAGGTGACTACAAACCTTATAAACTGTTTTCCTTTCAAACCCTCTTAGGATTAAACAGCAATATATATATAAAAAAAAAAACTAACTTAAGTCTCAAGGGAAAGTAAAAAAACCCAATAAATACATCAAGTGGGGAGCTATAATATCCAGAAAAAGGTCTCTTTGGGGTCATATCCAAGGTCTATGGCTCCTACTTGGCTGCAGTGTGCTACACCTCTTGCTTAAGGCAGACTGTTACGCTGCATATGTAGAATCTCTATGCTACGAACCTCTATTCTTCTTTTTGGCAAAACATGCTTCTTATAGAATCATAGAATGGTTAGGGTTAGAAAGGACCTTGAGATAATCAAGTTCCAACTCCTCTGCCACAAGCAGGGACACCTCTCACTAAACCGTGCCATCCAAAGCTCTGTCCAACCCGGTCTTGAACACCGCCAGGGATGAAGCATTCACAACTTCCTTGGGCAACCCATTCCAGCGCCTCACCACCCTAACAGTAAAGAAATTCCTCCTTATATTCAATCTAAACTTCCCCTGTTTACGTTTTAACCTATTAGACCTTGCCCTACCACTACAGTCCCCAGGATTAGATAAATCAGGTAGGAAGAAGGCATTACGCTTGAATGTTCTGAACTAGATATGGTCAGCCTGCAGCCTAGAAACTATGAATTAAGACTGTAAGAAAGACAGGATTTATTTTTTCCTTCCATTACAAGTTTAGAAACCCCAGTCTGAGCACTTCTATAAAGAAATGGTTTCTTTTGCTTGTCACTCATGGCACACTAGAGGTTGAGCATAAAAGTTAGAAATTATAACACAAGTGTAAATTTGTCCCTATTTAGAGTAAAAAATTTGGGAATTATTTTGTTATGAAGCAGCATTTGGCACAGAATATCTGGGACCAGATGAAACAAAATGTGCCATACTTTTACTTTCTCTGCAGCCACTTAGTCTCCTGCACTTGCTGAAAAAGGAGTCACAGCAAGTAAACGGGCAGACATTCAGGACTACCACACAGCAGGGAATCCATAGTAGCAATTTATGAGAGGTTTCTGCTTACTTACACCATGTGTACAGTTCAAGCAGAGTTAAGCTGCTGAGGGAACCTTTTCCAAGGACCTACATCTACCCTTGGATTTCAAAACAGCATGTCCATGTAAGTAAACATAGACATGATGACGGTTCAGTGTATAACATGATTTAAATATACCCAAGCATTTCTTGACAAACCCTTCCCTCATACTTTTCAAGCTGATAAGATGCAGAATATATTCCAAGATGCATGGGCACTGGGGTATTGTTTGCGCATTTTCTCTTCTTTCCTGGCCCAGTCTCCT